GATAAATGGAAAAATGTCCTTGGATGACGATTAAAAAAAAGACCACCACCTATGGACAGAGACTGCCAAAGCTGTTGTTCCTGAGTGACAGAATCAAGAACAAGAAGGACAATGACTTTTCATTGTGTACTTTGAATCCCCTGATTTTTTTAAACATGTACATGAATTAAATATTCTAAACTATAAAGAAAACAGTAACTGTTAGCTAATAATAGCAACATGATTGCTCACGGAGACTCTTGGCATTTTCAGGAAATCCAACTCAGACTCTTCTTGAGTCGTCAAAATCAAAGTAGCATTAGTATCTAATTTTCTCTGGTCCCCATCTATTAAATAGGTGAGGACAGCACCCCCATCTCCTAGGGGGCTGGAAGATTTGGATGGGTGTCGTAAGAAAGGAGAAGACACTGGGGTAGGCCCCTCCTTAGCTGTGCCTGCCAGCCCCACAAGCCCCACACCCCTCACACCCAGCAGGAGGATCAGATGGCATCCATGGTGGACTTCAGGGTCGCTCACAGACTGCCCGAACCAAGAACACTAAATTTACAAATGCCAACATCCCAGAGTAGAAACATCCATGAGCAGAAGCCCACTCACCAGCTTCCCAAGGACAGTGACAACAGAAGCTAAAATAGCGACAACCACTGTTTACAGAGGTCCAGGCACTTTACATGTCTGCTGTGACTCCTTTAATGCATACAACATCCCCGAACTAAGTACTGTTATTATCCTCACTTTACAGATGAGAAAACTGAGGCACAGAGTGGGTAAGCCACGTGCCCAGGTCACTGGTGGAACAGGCCTGGGACCCAGAAAGTCTCACCCACAGATAGCAGTGAGTCCTATTTACTTCAGGAGCTACTGGAAAGTGTTTATTTGCGAGGCTGGGTTATGACAGTCCCCGAGCACTGCTGCGAAGGAAACCTAAGTCCCCCTCCCACCCCCACACCCCAGAGTGGTGCCAGATCCAGACAGTAAGACAAACAGACCAGCATCACTTAATCCTGGAAAAGATCCTCCTTCCTCCCCTCTAAGAATCTCCTGAAAGAATTCCAGCTTAGCATGGTAAGCCATCCCAGCAGAAAGGGACCTTTCTACAACCCCTTTGGAAGGAATGTAGGCCCTGAGGGGACACAGGCACCCCAAGCTCCCTGCCATGACTCCCAGGCCAGGTCACCGTTAACACCACACTCACAGCTCCAGGAGGGCAGGGGCTGCACCCCACTGCACCCCACCCACTGCTTGACCCCAGGCCAGGACTCAAGAAGGCTCTTCGTGAACTAGAGCCACCATGGAGTGCCCGCCTCATTCCTTCTGGGGGAACTGGACAAAGGGTCCCCGAGGGAGAGCCGACATCAATAACATGGTCTGAGATTGCACCATAAACATATTATTTCCTGCAAGCTAGTCAGCCAGCCCAGCTGGCCTCCAAGTTTCTCAAGGACGAGAACCTCACAGACGTCTGCTTTTGGAGCCTCCGGGAAGCTCCAGGCTAACCTGGGCGAAGAAGAGACACGTACACAAGAAAGCCACGTTCGTAGGTGCAGAGGCCTGAGGATTGGGCTCAGGGAAGCCCAACTGGCTGAGCAAATCCTCACACTCCCTGAGCCTCAGTTTCCCCACCCCTCCATACCTGGGCTGCTAGGAGGACGAAGGGAGATAAGGGAGCTGGAAGGACCACATTCAAGTCAGCAAATATTACAGCAGAGACGGACAGAGGTTCACCCACATTTTATACCCTTTTCACCAGCCCCTGCGACAGCTTCCACCGCGGGAAAGAGAAGAGTGGGAAGGAGAGAAGGATTTGGAGGAGAGACAGAGAAAACACGAACGAAGGGAACCGGGCTCAGCCAGCATTTCCAAACAGGGCACTGTGCAAACAAAATCACCCAACATTTCCAACCAACAGCTTTCTTTGCTGTCCCTCTGAAGTCCCTTCTGGGCATGTTTAAAAAGCCACGAAGTAGGTGGGAGGAAGCTGCAAGGCCGCTCCTGTGTTAGGGGAAGGGAAGGGGTAGAAGAGCCAGGTGCCTGGGAAGAGGGGAAGAAACAGGAGAGTCACAGGAACACACAGCTTCACTAAAAACAAGCTGAGTCAAAGGCCCATCTGTTGACTAGTCAGAGGGCCCTCCTATCAACAGGCACAGAGGGTTTGAAGAATGGGCCCTTATGTCTACCTAAGGTATCCCAGCAGGACCAGGCTCCAAACACCTACTGATGCCATCCTTGTGTGAGGCCCCCTCGGAGAACAAGGCATTACACTTGCTGAGGGTACGGCTCAGCCTTGTGAGGAATAGTGTCCCCAGGACAAGATAGCAGTCACTGGACTTCTGTGAAAATAACGAGGGAATCCTCCTTACTGTCAGAGGTTCCAAAAGAGAAAGGGCTGGCTTTCTGTGTGGGTCTCAAGGTCACCAGATTGGATTCATTCTAGAAGTTAAAGAAAAGGAAGAAAGGTATGGAACCTGCCCCTCTCTCATGCCTGTCTCCCCATTTGTAAAACAAAGGGCTGGGTGAGATGCTCTCCCACATCCCTTCCTGCTCGGAGATTTGTACCAGGCCTGATATTCAACTAAACAACCCATCCGGGTCTGTACGGGTCACCCTCTCTGGCACAGACACTGCCCCAAACATTCAGGGCAGAGCCTCAAGTCATTTTCAAAGATCTCTGGACTTTTTCATTGGGAAAGTCACAGACAATTCATCACCCATCAAAACAGGAGCACTGTGCCTCCAGATCGTGAACGTAAAAAACATGACACTGTCGGCCCACCTCATCCCTTGGGCCACTAAAATCACAGCAACATTCCCACCAAACAGCAGCAGCCAAGAACTCCAGCCACCCTCTCCAGGGTGGGAGCATTTTGTACCCAGTATAGAAACCTGGCCACCAGGGGGCACTGCTCTGAAAAGAATGAAGGAGAGAAGAAACAGAAAAAAAAAACAAAAAACCATTTTCGGTGTTTTCTTTTCCTTCTTAAGCTTCAGTGACAAAATAACTAGAGTCCCTACCGAAAACACAAAGTGGGCTTCCTGAGATTCTAGAATGGCCTAGACATTTTCTTCCCAAAGCCGTTATTTTGACCAAAAGGCAATTCAACTTTGAGGACAATGACCTTTTCAGAGAAATTAACACTCCACGCTGGACTTCCCCCAGAAGAGTTGACATCATAGCTTGTCCTGAACCCCCTGTTTAAAGGCAGGGGCTCCACAGGAAGGAAAAGCCAATCGGCAAGTCTAGAAGGAGGACCTAGATGAGAGTCTTAGCTAGAACTGTTTTACAAGAGCCTCCTAATTACCAAGCAAAATATACCAACCAGATGACAACCTCCTGCTTTAGCTGTGACATGGGATGACACAAATACAGCCAGACCTCAGGGAAAAGAATGCAAGGTCTTAACTGGGATTTCCCAAGTCGTAGATGACTACAGGGGGAGCTCCGGCACCTCACACCAAAACTAGACTTGAAGAACACATCAGAGGGACTTCTCCACATTTCTTGTGTCTAGGGCACATTTTCCACAAGTGTATCTGCAGTGCAATGTTCAAGTGCCCTTTTTTAATGTTCCACAAGTGTATCTGCGGTGCAATGTTCAAGTGCCCTTTTTTAATGTTCCAAAGTCCTCAGGCTCATTTTCAAAGCTCGGTCTTCAAGTTCCTCCTGATTTCCTCATGTATTCGGCATGCCCTACAGACCAAGGAGAGATCCCGGAGAAGCCGGCCTGAGGCAAGGCAGCCAACTCCACCCCCAGACCAAGGATGCAGACCCAGGAGCTGTTTGTTCAATGTAAAGTGCGCCCCTCTGACTGCTGGGTGGAGAGTACCATCAGGGCTTGAATGGGGCAAAGGAGCACCAGCCCCTTTGGACCGGCATGAGGGGCACAGAGGTGCTTGGAGCCCCACTAGCTTACACTGGCCACTTGCTCTTCAAACCAGGAGATAAGGAATCACAATTGTTCAATTCTTCATGATGTTTGGGAATCCAGCAGGGATGAAAATGCAAGTGGGGCCCATTTTCCAGAATGAGATATACCAATGGGAGACACTGCATAACAAAAGATTTCCACCTAGAGTGTGCAGGATTGTGGAGCCGAATTATCTTAGGCTTTCACTGAGAACAGGATTCAACTCATCACTTCTCAAAAGCAAAGCTACAGTTGTGGGGCAAGGTGAGGCATACCTGCCCCAACACTGGATGTTTCTGAAATGAATTGAGAATGCCATCTTAATAAAACACCTCAGTCTCCACCATTGAACACTGCCATTGGGGGTGGGGGTTGGAGGGGCAAGTAGAGGAAGGCCATCCTATTCCACATGCATTTACCCAGCACCCCCTCTGCATCAGCCACTCCCTAGCTCTAGGACCCCTGGCGCGGTACCCCACCTCTCTGCCAATTGATCCCCCTTCTCAAACACGTGGCCCAGAATCACCACCCCGACCAATTCTCAAGGCTGGTGCGAGGCTCTAATGAGACAGCAAATCACCACATACATGCCAAGTATTGCTACTAGCTTCACATCGGCTTAATCCAGTGACATGCAATGACAGCTTAAAGGGGGGCACTCGCGGAGCACATAGTAGGTGGTCCGCAAACGAACGAACACTGGTGCCCTTCTCCACGGACAAGGGAACGGAACGACGGAAGAAAAACACTCCAGTCCAAAAGCAACCTCCAACCACAGGCAGAGAGCTCGTGTCCCCCGATTCCTCAGGTCCCCCACCTCCTTCAGCAGCGCTCCCACCGCGCCCTGGGAGCCTGGAGGCTTCCCCACCGGGGTCACAGTGCACCTGAGAGCCCTGGTCTGTGCCACGCCGCCCATACTTGGCCACCGCTTCCCTCGAACACAGCCGGCGGCCACCACAGCCACCTGGCTTCTCGGACTCAGCGTCCCTGTGCACTGCTCCTTCCCGTTTTGCTCTAACCTCCCCGAAGAGCCGCTGTGGCTGAGCCGGGCTCCTGCCGGGGATCCCCGGGCGCCGGAACCCCGTCCGTCCTTACCTGCACAGCTCGGCGAAGGCCTGGAAATTGAGCTTCTTGATTTTCTTCTCGCTCAGCCAGTAGCCAACTCTCTTCCCTTTCAGAAAGGTCTGCATCTTCCTCCTCGGGCGGGGAGCTCGGGTCCGGAGGAAATCGCCCACAGGCCGAGTCTGGCGGCCGGCGCGCGCCGCGAGAGTGCGGGCACCTCCTCCCGGCGGCGGGGACGCGGAACGGGGCTCCGGGCGCGCAGTCCTGCCGGGAGGGGCGGGCCGGGGCGGGGCGCACGGCCCGGGCGGGGGAGCGGCGCTCAGCGCGGCGTGCCACTGGCTGCCGCCGGCCGGGGCCGCCCCCGCCGCCCTCCCGCGGGGCTCGCCGGCGCGCAAGTTCGCGAGCGCCGCACCGGGGCCGGGCCCGGGGGAGAGCTGGGAGGCCCTGGCTCGTCGGCGCCGCCCAGCCCGCAGCCCTCCGGCCAACCAGGGCCGAGCCACCCGCCCTCCGGGGACGGCGACGGAGAAGCGGCCCCGCGCTCGGGCTCTTCGCCGCCCCCAAGGTCCTCCTCCCTCCCGGCCTCTCCAGCTGGGCCACTCCGAGCCCCGGGCGGCGAGACGGCCGTTCCGAGCCGGGCGCGTGCCCTTCCCGGCACTCGCGGACTCCGGCGGGCGCACGCGGCCTCCTCCCCGCCCACGGTCCTCACCCGCCGCCGCCGCCTCCTCCCCGGCCCTTTCCTCGTCTCCGCGCGCACTGGCCGCGTCCGGCCCCGCCGGCCCCGCCGCCGCCGCGCTGACCCGGCCGGCCGGCCCGCTGGACCCGCCGGGGCGAAGGAAGCGCGGCCGCGCCGGCCTCCAGGGGGCAGCACCGCCCGCCGCCTCTTAAAGGCGCCGCGCCTTCCCCGCCTAGTAATGTGCTTGTTTGTGTCGGCGCTCGGGCTGTGGAGCTGGGCGACCGAGCACGAGGGACCGGGCAGCCCTTGCCCAGAGGTTTTACTTTTTAAAGCGGCGATGGGGGCATTTTCTGCCTGCCCTTTGGGAGCGACCGAGACACTGAGTCTCATTCATCAAAAGCACGTCTGTACCCTCGGCAGTGTTCAGCCCCTCCCCCAAGGTAATTCTTGGGCACTGCAGCGGCTGTGGGAGATCCCGACGTCCAGTGAGATCTCTCTCCGGGACAGACCGACGGGTCCCGGCCCAGGACGGTGGTCCTTGCGGCGGGAACATGAACACCCAGGGCCCTTCTCAGCTTAAGAGGTTGACTCACACTCCGGGTCCCCTTCAACTGAGGGGGTAAGGGGCGGGACCAGAAGCATCAAGGATAAGGGTAGATCACTTTCAGGAGATCCTTTTGGGGTGCAGGTCAGCGACAGCCTCAGCGCCCTTGATTCACAGCCCAGCCTACCCTGCCCAAGCCCTAGGGGCCTGCCTTCTAATTACAAACCCCGCCCCCCCCAACATCCCTGGTTTTCCAAGTCACAAGTAAGTGAGGCTTTCCACTCTGGCACCTAAGGAGTAATCATACCTGTCCTCTGTCTCCACCTCTCAGCTACTGCCTACTTGCTGTGTGACCTTGCAGGCCACTTAGCCCTGGCTATGAGGTCTAAACCGTATGGTGCTGTGGGGGTGTGGTGGGGACGAGGAACGGAGAGTAGAGATGTCTCCCATTGTAAGGGGAAGAATGGTCTTCGGCTTCAGAAATACCCGTCATGGGGGTTCCCAGTTCAGCTTCTCCCAGCTTGGGCAAACACTTAAGTTCTGTCTCCAGGTGGGGAAAGTAATGCTTGCCTTAAAGGACTGTGTGGAGGATTAGAACAGGCTAGTACATGGGTTCTCAAGTAGGCCTTCAGAAATGGTGCTTATTCTGTCCCATCCCATTTTTTTTGTTGTTGTTTAATCCTCACTCAAGGATATGTTTCGTTTGTTTTTTAAAAAAAAAAAATTTTCCTGTATTGATTTCAGAGAGGGAAGAAGTGAGAGGGAGAGAGAGAAACATTGATGAGAGAGAACCTCAACTGGCCACCTACTTCATGCCCCCCACTGGGGATCGGGCCACAACCTGGGCATGTGCACTAACCGGGAATGGAACCAGCGACCTCTTGGTGCATGGGTCGACACTCAACCACTGAGACACTACGTACGGACAGGATATATTTTTATTGATTTTAGAAGGAAAGGAAGGGAGGGAGAGAGAAAACCATTGATGTGAGGAACGTTGCCTCCCATATGCACCCCGACCAGGGATCAAACCCGCAATCTGAGTATCTACCCTGACCGGGAATCAAACAAGGGAGCTTTCAGTGTACTGGACGATGCTGCCATCAACTGAGCCACACCGACCAGGACTGATCCAGGGATTCTTTTTTGTTTTTTAAATATCTTTTTATTGATTTTTTTTAGAAAGAGCTAGAAACATCCACTTGAGAGAGAAACATCAATCAGCTGCCTCCTGCATGCCCCCTACTGGAGATCGAGCCTGAAACCCAGGCATGTGCCCTGACCAGGAATTGAACCCGGACATCTCTGTCCATGGGAGGATGTTCAATCCACTGAGCCACACCGACTGGGCATATCCAAGGATTCTTAACTTGAGGCCCAGGTAAGTCACCACCCCACCCATCCCAGGGCTTTAGAAACGCTTGCAGGTGCCAGAAATTATGTGCATAATGGTCATGGCTTTCAACAAACTCTCAAAGGCTCTGTGATCTCCATACCTTAAGAGTCACTGATTACTCCAACTCCCTGTCTTGCCAGTAAGAAGTAGACCCAGAGAGGAAAGGAGATTTGCCCAAGGTCACAGAGCAAGTACATGGGAAAACTAGGACCAGCATCCCAGTGCCAAGAGGTCCCCCATGCTCACCAACCTTCTGGAGTTGCGGGAAGGATGCGAGAGGAGAGGCGTAGGTTGAGTACTCAGACTCCTGCCCAGGGTAGAGCCGGCTCCTCCCAGGCACTGCCGGGACCAGAGATCCACCCACACTTCTCTGGAGCCCTGGCAAGTCCTCACTTCAAGCTTCTCCGTTGAGAATGGGGACTCTACATTTTTATCTCTCTTTTTTTTTTTAGATTTTTTCCTTTTTTATTGATTTTTAGAGAGAGAGTAAGGGAAAGGGAGAGAGAGAAACACAGATTGAAACGTCAGTTGGAGATCAAGACCGCAACCCAAGCCTGTGCCCTAACCGGGAATCAAACCAGCAACCTTTCTTTGCGTGGGCCAACGCCCAACCAACTGAGCCACACCAGCCAGGGCCATTTTTATCTCTTTTAAGATCTAGGTCATCCCCACAGGAAGCTCCAGGGCTAAGACCACCCTTTAGAGATGTCCCACCTTGACCAATGGAGTGAGCCTTCTTGCCTACCCCGCCCTTGCCCATCAAACAGTCTTTGAACATGGACTGACCCTAGAGAGGGGCATGACCTTGGGCCCAGTATTTCTCAGATTTACTACTTCCTCCATTTCTTTCAGTGCCATCAAGCCCATCGACCCTTCCCCACTTGTGTGTCTCCATTCATCCCTGCTAGCCTGTTCTCTCCTTTTCAGCCAGGACTGTCTTCTTCAGAACGCAAATCGGATTTGATCAGGCCAATCAGGCTACCCCATCACCCTCCTCCCCAACTCACCCCCAGCTTCAACAGCTTTCCACTGTACTTGAGATAAAGCCAAAACTTTTCGACCAGGCCAAGACCTCCCAGCCTCATCTCCCACCAAGTTCCCCGCACCCTGCCCCAGCCACCCTAGCTTCTGTGGTCCCTGCTATCCCTGGGGCCTTTAGATAGGCAGTCCCTTTTTGTGCAAAGTTCTCTTCTCTATTTGCTTATTAACTCATCCACCAGCTCTGAGCCCAGAGGTCCCTTCCTGGCATGTCAGCCATCTACCTCTCTGCACCCTCAACAAATACGGTAATCACACCTCCACTCGTCAGGCTGAGTACTTGACACTGTTTGTCCCACCACCAGACAGTCAGCCCTTCAAGGGCAGGGACTGTGTTTTGTTTTCTTCTGCTCACCATTGTATCATCAGAACACAGTAGTAGATACACTGGTGGCCAGTCTGGGTTCTGTCTGGATTCCGATGAAGCCAAACTCTCTCTAATAGTGCCCCTCAATAAAAGTGACCAAAAAGGCCGGCCGGTGTGGCTTAGTGGTTGAGCGTCGACCCACGCACCAAGAGGTCACTGGTTTGATTCCTGATCAGGACACATGCCCAAGTTGTGGGCCTGATCCCCAATAGAGGGCATGCAGGAGGCGGCCAATGGATGTTCTCTCTCTATGTCTGTCTCTTTCTTCCTCTCCCTCTCTCTCTAAAAATCAATAAAGAAAAAAAAATTATTTTTAAGTGACCAAATAAATGAATGTCAGGTAAGCCCTCCCAGGTGGTCCCTGACCTCTCAGACACAAGAGGTACAAAGGTGGGAAACCCCAAAACAGGAACCTAGAGATGAGAAATCTACATTCCCTCTGGGAAGCAGGTGAACCGTTAAGGGATTAAGTGGGCTCGTGTATGTCCTTGGCCTGCGCCACCTAGGAGAAGATTCCGGAGCTGGTAGAGTAACTGGTAGAAGGAGGGCTGTGAGCAGGAAGGAAAGGACATGCGCAGGGGCAGAAGCGGGCCACTTGGAAGCTCTCCCAACCCTAGTCCTCCTGGGAGAGAAGGCAGCTTTGGCACATGAGACTATGTAAGGATTGAGAATTCAGACTTCAGATTCAGCTAATGGACTTGAATACTAGCTGGGTGACTTTGAACAAGTGCCTTAACCTCTCTGAGCCTTACTTGCCTCATCTGAGAACCACAAGATGGTGTCTATTAGTAGGATACTGATTAAGTAAATGGTGAAATCCCCATTCTGCACCAGTTTGGAACAAGTAGTTAAATGTGCCAGTTCAAGAAATGGGGTATCTACGAGTGGAAGTGGGGAATCCCTTTCCCCACTGGGTGCCGGGGGTTGGGTTCTTACAATATCTTAAGAAAAATAATTGTCTAAGACTCACACAGGAGAAGGAGTGATTTTTATTTGCGTGGAATTATATCCCTTGATTTCTAAAGTTTTATTTCCCTTAAACCAGTCCTGGAAGAGGTGCAGCTGAGGATTCAGCAGAGCTACAAGCAAAGCCAGTGTCCAGAGTTTTTGTTCCACGGTGAAGTTGGGACCAGCAGAGCGTCAGGCTAGTTCCAGTCCATCAGTCCATTGTGTGGGGTTCACACAGCCCCTGCAACAAGAGAGCCAGGAGCCAGGGCACAAGAA